CTTTTTTTTTTTTTTTTTGTCTCACATGTATTTTTAATAAAGATTAAATCAATAAAAATACCTTATTTCTCTTAAAATAAAACTTTTAAACTCTCAAGAATTTACATAATATTCTTAAAATAAAACTTTTAAAATTTTATTAAAATTTTAACATTTTTTAAAAAACGAAAATATTTGAATTTAAAAATATATATTTTTAATTAGTACACAACTATTTATATCATATAATACAGATAGAAAGTATTTAAAAAAAACTTGTAAAAAATTTAAAGCTTTTAAAAAAGTTTAATTATTTAAACTTTTAGTACTTTTAAAACAATTTTAAAAATTTAAGAAATTTTTTAAATAAAATATTAATGATTGAATCTTTGTTTTTGTTTTCTTTTAGTAAAGTTCTTTTTTTTTTTAATTTAAAAATATTATTGAAATTTTGAGTTTTAAAATATTTTTTTAAACAAAATATGAAACAAAGGCTTAACATAATCACATTACACTTATAGATGAAATAATGCCATTATCAATGCCTTCTCGAACAGAAAAACAAAGTATTTCATGAGATGGGAGAATTAAACAGGCCAAAAATGCAGAATTCATAGTTCTTCATTCCCAACTCACCAAACAATTACTCAGATCAAGAATCAGCTCACATAGGAGGTCTACCCGACCCGAGTAGCTGGCCGACTAAATTAGTTACCTGAAACACAGAAAACTAAGAATCAATACCAGAGTTGAATTCAAAAACTTCATCAGTAGGATGGACTCAAATAGTCAACAAAAACAGATGATATAAGTTCATGCAAAGACATTGTTGTATCGTAAATAAGCTAAATCGAAGAAGCGAATATCTTTTGAGATAGGGAGGAAAGAATTTAAATTTATGTTGAAGGAAGCATCCTTGAGTTAGTAGTGAAAACTGTGGCCATCAAGAGTCCCATGGACTATTTATGTTGTACCAGCTAAAGCTCATCGCAAACAAATATTGTTCCCTTTGAGCTTTCTCTTTCGGGTTTTCCCTCAAGGTTTTTAAAATGTATCTGCTAGGGAGAGATTTCTACACCCTTATATAGAATGCTTCGTTCCCCTCTCCAACCGACGTGGGATCTTACAATCCACTGCCTTTCGAGACCCAGCATCCTTGCTGGCACTCGTCCCTCTCTCCAATTGATATGGGATCTCACAGTGCACATAAATCCTAAATCATTCGCCGAAGATCCCAATAACATGAAAAACAAAATAGAACTGTATTCCAATATCGAAAAATAAAGTACAATATTAATATCCTTCCGAGAGGACCAGCTCTCCCAAAGCCAAACCTCAGCAAAGTCACCCCTAGCTAATTACCACTATGCCTTAATATTATCAGATTAATGTTCTCAACGTATCTCGTATATGTACTCTCACATTACGAAATGTCTATTCACAATCAGATACAAGCCAATTGATCTTGGAATGCAAGGGAGAGAATGTTTCAATTCTCTAAAGAAATCCTACGCTCGTATCAACCTGAGCATAGTTTAATTGGTTTAGGCATATACCCCAGACCAAGAATTTTGAAGTTCGATTCTCCCAACTTCACACGAAGTCAAAAAGAAAATTCAGGCTCATAATAAGATGAATTTACCAATGGCTTATGCTTTATCAGAAAACATCTGAACTCGTTTATCAAATGCACATCCATGTCTCAAAATCAAATGACTGATTCTACCATACCCATAACAAGAATTCATTTGAAGATAGTAAGCAAACAACAAAACACATGGTTTCATTTAAATTCCCTGCCAAAAACCACAAAGATTTTATTTTAACGTGATATATGAACAAGGACAACGCGATTTTGAGCTTTCAATCGTGATGGAATAAAGGTGCTCTTGTACTATTTGATCACTGCATATCTCATAAACTAAAAGACATACAAAGAATAGAACATAAAGATCAGCTTACATGCCAATACTTGGAAACACAGCGGTCAATACAACTATTTTCACCCATATTCAGCTCAGATTCCTTGTACCTAAAATAGAAAGTAATTGTTAAAAGACAAAAAACCATGCACAACTTTTAAAATGATTGAGATAGAATTAATTTTATAATGCCAAAACTACAGCCTTAAGAAATTGAATTCTATGATTAGAAAGCATGCAATATTCAAAGATAGAAATGCAGGACAATTCTCCTACCTCTTATCAACACATTTGTTAAAACATGATTGTGTAAGCCTGAAAGAAAAAAAAGACAAAGGCATCAGGTCAAATCTATGAAGAAGGTAGAAGAAACACATAAAATCTTTCACCATACTGAAGTTATAGAAAAAAAATAGTTTACACTTTCAATGAAAAAGATTTTCAATATAAAACCTACTTGTTGAACAATTCAACTCGATATTCCATCTCCTTTTCTGCCATACCAAATATCTGCTCCAATGCAAAAAATATTGAAATTAGTTTGTGTTAATAATTATGAATTTACAAAGTACATTTAAGTTATATCTACATGGTGAAATTCATCAAAATCTAGTAAATTGAACATATCAATCGCTCTAAATGGACAGATTCCAGTAACAAATAGAAAATTTCGTCATACATTCATCCTCTATCTCTCTCTTTCGAGCCCTAACAGTTATATTAGTCCAATTTAGAAAAATCCACAAGAATAAGGCACAGATTCAAATACTAGAATCCCAAATCACGGCTATGAATTTGCAAAAACGAGGAAAAATCGAATAAAGACATAGAAACCAACCTGTTCCTTGTCCATAGCCGATGGCATATCGTTCGGAGAAGCCATTGAGATTCTGAATCAAACAAAATCACAATCCCAAAACTCAATAACCCACCAAAAAGGAACAATTTATTTAGAACAAATGGAAATGACAATCGATACAAACTCACTTCGAATGAACTGCCAATGGAAAATTTCAAAATCGTAGCTCAGTCTTCTGATGGATTCGATGAATCAGATCAGTAGTTGACAGAGAAGGCAAAACCCCGCTGCTAAATCCCTGGAACGGTGAAATGGGAAGAATTCTTACCTAACTGATATTTGTAGCCTTGTCGAGCCCTTCGGTTTTCGATGCATCTAACCTGAAAACCCGATTCTTGGCGGGTTAGGTTCAACCGAACCAGCTTGGGTAACGGTTCAAACGGGTCAATCCAGTTTAAACCAATTTGACTTGTTTGTAAATCAAAGTTGTAATCCAACCACGTCTACCGGAATAAAACAAATTATTTATTTGAGTCCTAAACTTTTAAAAAATATGATTTATTATCATTTTAAATATGGTATGAACGGGTCAATCCGGTTTAAACTAATTTGACTTATTTTCTTTACATTTTGAGTGAAAAATCTCCTAAGTCAATTCATAAAATGGTTCGATCGAAGATAAATGCAAGAATTTTGCAAACCGAAATTGTAACCCAGACGACAGTTAAAGTGAGAATAAAACAAAATATTTATTTAAGTCTCTAAACTTTTTAAAATACACCATCATTTTAGTGGTAGTTGAAATTAATAAGAGATGAGGGTGTGAAATAAAATAATTTTTTAAAAAAAAAACTGAACCTAAATTGGACTTGGTTCGGTCATTAGATCAAGGACCAAACTCGAACCAACTCGAACCAGCTAATTGACTTGGTTCGGTCTAATCGAACCAAAGAGCTAAAAAAAATGGCCTAAACCTTTAAACCCCATTCATCTCTTTTTTTGTTTTTGTGATCTCTCCCGCCGTCTCTGCTCTCTCTATCATTCTATAACTCGCCGGGCGGTCGCCGGCCACCGTCGGCAGCAAGCTCGGTCTTCTCGCCTATTGGTAATCAGTTCTCACCTCCTCTCTCTCTCTCTCTATTGATAATCAGTTCACTTATCAACAAGGGGGCGGTGCGAATATTTGTTGCTTATTCCCTGTGCTTGTGTAAGCATTGCCTGGGCTGGTCCTCGTTGAATTCACCATTCATTTGACTGATTTTTGTAGTTTTTGTGATGAAGAATCTGAGGTACTTGTATTAAAAGATTGGTATTGCAAATTCTATGTTATTTTGTGGACGTAATTTTCTTGTGATTAGGGGTACGTTAAGGTATGGTGTAGTTATTTTGGTTGGTTTTAGAATTTTTGATGGCTTACCGGAAAACTTGTTGATTCATATACCTTGGAAACTAAATAACTGTGAATTGAACTGGAATTTTGCACTCCGGTACTATTATCCTATGAATATGACTATATATTCTAGCTGTATGCTCGGTGTCACAATCGCACTTTTGCTGGCAACAGATTTGGCGATTGTGTGGCACTAACTTTCAGTACTGAGTGAGCCAAACCTACTTAGGATCGCGTCGCCTATGGGCGGGCAATGTATGCTCAAGCCTTTAGTCCCATTTTGAGAAGAAGGTTTTAGAAAATGAGGGTAGAGAGATTTTGTAAGAGAGTTTAAAAACAAGATTGAGAGAGAAAGATTGAAAACAATGTTATACGACTACAAGCAAAAGACAACACAACGGTTTAAATAGCATATAACTTTCGAGTAGGGAGAATTTGACAACTAGTCGCATCCCCTATAGTATATTTTGAGGCGATTTAGGCCTAGTAGACCTAGACGTGATTTCGCCGAACGGTTATAAAAAATCTAGGTGGGAGGAGTTGACGACTGATCGCATCTCCCTATAGTACATTCGGAGGCATTTCATGTCTATCAGGCCGTCATACATTTAGAAAAGACAATATGGAAACTATACATCATGAAAGCAGTAAAGTGATACAAGGCAAGGGTTTTGACATGCCACAAGCATGCGACCATGGACAATACGCCTTGTACAAGTATGACCGTGACACTTAGGACCTAAAGACTGAACTGAAATGCGGTATGGTTATGATTTTTTCTTGTTCCCTCCCGAACTGTGCACTCCCCTAGCGTGTGAGCTCAAGTCTTGATATTGATTCACAATAAATATTAGCTGGGGTGATGATACTTAAAGAGTTAGCTTAAGTTGAGATTGGAGCAAATTTAATCATGTCAATCTTCTCTTCTTATTATGATCATTTCTCGAGGTGCCCAATGACAGAAACTAGACGTGGTAGTGTATCTCTAAATTCAAATCCTTACCGTGTAAGAGAGTTGTACTCAATTCACCCCACAAGTGCAATTGATAGGAAGGTATGCAATGCAACGAGTAATCATACATTTGTTGCTCAATAGTACGCTCTAAAGGCTATTTACTTGGAGCTTAACACTTCAATGGCTTCTCCTAGTAGTCCATGCCTCTTTTAGGAGTAACATCCAGACAGGTAAAGTTTGTAAGGGTAGTAATATAGTCGGGAAGAAATAACTAATCAAAAGCTTCTTCTTCAAGCTAAAAACAACTGTGGCTCTTGGCCCAGATAACGTTCTAGGCATAGGGGAGATCGGAGTAATAGTGAACGCCTAGACGACGTTTTTCTCTAGGGGTCCTTCCACCCCTTGCCCCCGAATAAGGGTACAAATGGTTTTGTATACTTTTAAATGACTTGTTACATCATCTCGTTGTCTAAGAGTGACATTTTGTGGGTACAACATCTCTCATCCTTCAGATGATCGAGTTAATATTAGAGTCCAGACAACATGTAACATTTTGAAGTAGTATAACTCTCTAAAGTGCAAGAGATCGGTTCCCATTTTTAGTGTTTCCAATAATTAGACTTGTTCTTGCCTGGTTTTCTTCTTTATACACATCCAATTTATGCATTCATGAGAAATATAGTCTATGGCTCTATGCTAAATGTGATCCTTTTCCGAAGAACACAAGTTGGATCCTTGTAGCTTTGCTAGAACCCCATCCATTTTGGTACTTGATTTATGGATCGTTACTATTTAGTTTCATAAATTAAAAGAAGATTTATAAGGTGGCTATCTTGTTCTTAAACAAGATTTATAAGGTGGCTATCTTGTTCTTACTATGGATGCTAGCATCTCAATATTGATGTGACGTGCGTACTAGATAAACATTAGTTGATTTGACGATAGAAAAATAGTTGGAAGTGACCAAGCATTAGCATTAGAGATACTGATGAGAAGGGTTTTGATGGAACATGACAGGTGATCCTGCAAGAGAGGTTCTGAAAGATGCGTGTCAGAACTTCATGGTGGTCTGCCACCATGTGAGGAACACATTCGACAAGGCTGTGCTTGATTTCAAACCCACCAATCCTGTGGGAAACATTAATATCAATTAGAATGGTACCCTTTCAGCTTGTCACTTTCTTTCTTAGTCTCGTCTATACTGCAGTTTATAGGTGATTGAGTTGGTTAGCTAACTATGAGATTTCATATCGGTTTGAAAGGGGAATAAACCATTCTTTATAAGAGCGTGAAAATTTCTTCCTAGTAAATACGTTTTAAAACCGTGAGGTTGAAGGCGATATGTAACCGGCTAAAGCAGACAATATTTGTTAACAGTAGGTTTGGACTGTTACAAATGGGATTAGAATTAGACACTACAATGTGCCAACGAGGACACTAGGCCCTCAAAGGGTAGATTGTGAGATCCCACATTGGTTGGAGAGGGGAAGGAACATTCCTTATAAACATGTGAAAATCTCTCTTTAGTAGATGTGTTTTAAAACCGTGAGTTTGATGACGATACGTAACGGACAAAAGTGAACAATATCTACTAGTGATGAGTTTGGACTATTACAACTGGCTTCTAGAACAGATTCATTTCATTGAATTTTGCTTGCTTTTACTGTTGAGATGCCTATGCAGAGATTTCACGTTAATTATTGTATATTGTAGATCCATGAGAAAAGTAAAAGAAACATGTATGATCAGATTTGATTGGATGTTTATGTGAGAAATCTCTCGATCTCTTTGAATTTTTGAATTTTCGACTTTTTGATCGAATCATCTGGATCGAATCCTCTGTTCTTGTGGAGTTGCCTGTTTATTCAATCACCAAAACCACAGCTAAGGAATGCATCTAATGAAACCAACCTCATCAAAATTAACTAAACAAAGTGTAAGTATATGTACAAAGGCCTAAAGAGCTTGGAATTCCCCCAGTTTTATTCTACTGGCGATCTTCCTAAGCCTATGACATTAACTTGAAGTGAAAAAGCCAGGACATTGCAAATGCAAGGAGCATGCAAGCAAGCAGAAAGTTCATAATGCGTCGACCGTGAAAGATCGTTCGAGTCTCGATGAGAGTTAGGGGTGCTGTCATAGCTGAAGATGCTACTGCAGCAGCAGCCAAATTGCTTGGTTCATTTATTTGTTGACTTGCAACATTTTGTGCAGCTGCTCCACATATCTCACAAATTCTGTAAGAAAAATATCATATTGCTTGTCAAGTTAATACTCATAACGATAACGTTAATACTCATTTTATGCAGTTTTTTGAAACGCGTTTGTTAGGGAGGAGTTTCTATACCCTTATAAGAAATACTTCGTTCCCTTTCCAACCACGGTGAAATCTCACAATCCACCCCCTTGGGAACTCAGCTTCTTCACTGGCACATTACTCAGTGTCTAGCTCTAATATCAGTTGTAACAGCCTAAACTCACCGCTAGCAGTATTATCCGCTTCGGCCGTTATGTCGTCAGTCTCACGGTTTTAAATGCGTCGGTTAAGGAGAGGTTACACACCCCTTGTAAGGAATGCTTCGTTCTCCTCTCCAACCGATGTGAGATCTCACAATCCACCCTCTTTGGGGGCCCAACGTCCTTGCTGGCACACTGCTCGGTGTTTAGCTCTAATACCATTTGTAATAGCCTAAGCTCATTACTAGTAGATTTTGTCCGTTTTGGCCCGTTACGCATCACCGTAAGCCTCGGTTTTAAAACACGTTTATTAGAAAGAGGCTTCTACACCCTTATAAAGAATGATTCGCTTCCCGTTCTCCTCTCCAACCGATGTAGTGTGACTGACTGGAAGTTACTATCTAGAGTGCTAAAGAATCTGATTCATTCAAGATATACAGAAAAGATAATTCTATACTCAAGAACAGTCATGCTCAAACATACGAGTCACTAAAGTTTTTACCTTGTTCATGTCTGAAGAACACCTTGCATACTCATTCTCAATAGTGAAGCTTTACACACAAAATCTAGTTGATTAAAGGTTTCCAAACAAGAATTCGAAGAATCCAATCAAATTGAGCTGAATACTTAGTAAGAACTATGAAGAACACTAAATACTGACTGCAGAAGATCTGAATGAATTTACTGAATTCAACATAGAGATTAACTATTTGGGGAAGATTCATGGCAGAAAACTCAGAAAGAAGCAGAGGATCCAACAAATTAGCTAAGATTTTCGATAAATTTCCATCTAAACTGCTAGCAAGAGGCAAAACTTGAACAGAACCATTGATGATCAAAAGATTAAGAACAAATGAGAGTTTATTACTTACGTATTTCCTTTGATTTTGAACCAAGTCTCAGCACAATGCTTGTGAGCGGTACCCAAATCACCACGACAGCAACAACCAAGCAGAATCGGAGTATCATTATAATCTCTTCCGCCGCCGCTTTCCAGTTCCAAGTGACAAATTCTGCAATCCCTTTCGATCTTCCCCAAATGCACCTTCACCTCCAAATCCCCACTCTCCAAATCCACCTCCGACGAGCTTCCCGAGATGAAACCACCCGTCTCAGCGTCCGGAACGCCCTCAATCTCGCCGGAAAACAGGCCGTCGCCGTGAGATCCCCAAGCCGTGGAGTCGAAAACCGAGTGCCACGACTGGTCATCGGAATCATCAAGAACCGACAGGTCACTGCTGCTGCTGCTGCTACCAGCTGCTGAACGAGCATCGCGATAAGGCAGGGAACTCGGATCTGCAAGGATCGGGTCACCACGAGGAGCTAGAACTGCGGACATCCTGAGAAACCCAGATGGGGAAATCGCATTCGACTAACGAAAACCAAAAGATATGTATTAATACAAACAGTAGCAAGATGAACAGACCCATTTCCCCCCTTCCTTTTTACTCTAACCATGAACAGTTTCCATAAACATTTCAAAACGTACAATTAGAACACGAAATCAAAAATTAGGAAAACTTACCACAAACAAGAACACGAAATTTTCATAACACCCAGGAAATCAAACGCTCAGCCAGCTTCAAAGATTAATCAAGAGAGAGAGAGAGGGAGAGAGGAAACGTGGGGTCATGGGGTTTTGTTTGTTTGTTGATCAGTGATTCTCTATCTCTATCAAAGAAAATATGAATAGGGACATACACTGAAACTCTTTTTCGGCGTGTCAGTTGCGATTGCTGTTATTCAAAGAAAAAAGAAAATTAAATTTTTTTAAAAAAGAAACGTTATGAACACTGATTATTGAAGGAGGTACCTGTGGGGAGTGACAGAATTTGCAGCCTTTTCCGATTAATTAAGGATCATGAAGCTACCAGTCGATACGACACAGTTTTCACATTAAACAGTTTTGTCTATGAGATGAGAGTGAGACTATCCTCCAAATATAATTTAATTTTTGTAAAATTTTAAATTCCTAAGTCTTTAAATTTTTATGAAAGATAATAATATATATCAATAAACCATAAATTTTTTAAATAACTAAATTATTACTTTCATTAAAATTAAATTCATCCCCAAAATACTAATTTTTAATTTTTTTTTTTTAATAATAGGGACTAAAATGTTACAAATTTTAAAATAAAAAATTAAATGATTACGCACTAAAATTTATAGATTAGATACTTACAAAATTGAGAAAATAAGAGCTAAACTGTTAATTAGAGAATATAAGAGCTAATTATTTTTTCATGAGGCTTAACGGGCTGATAGATTTTTCAACCTCTTTATTTATTCAATACAATATGGTCCCTTCAATAAGACCAATACAACACATTCATCACGTGAGACACAAAGTGATACTTCAACCATAGCATAGATAAGGTTATTTAGATTAAATATGACCTTCCTTATTTTTCTTTTCTATTTCAAAACATTCGATAAAATTATTGCTCTACGACAACTACGAGTAAACCACCTTGACAATCAAATATAGCAACATACTATACTATACATATCAATCAATGGGTACTAGGGCAGAGAGTCCCAAATTCAAGTTCTTTTGAGAATGAGGACAAATGTGTATTCAACATGAAATCAACATATTGAGACGCTATTGAGATTCAATCATCTCACTTTGTGGGTGTGCCTAAACTATTTATATATATATATCTATAACACATCACATCACATTAAAATGAAGTTATCATAGTTCGGTCTAAATATGGACTTCAACAAAAATTGAGAAAAATAATAAGACTAAAAGAAAAATTAATAGATTAAAATCCTTTTAAATCTGATTAAATCCTTCTAAACCAATGGTGTAATTCATAAAATATATATATGTATATGTATATATAGTATTCTAATATTAAAAAAAGGCATTAAAATAAGATAAGATATTTTCTTATTAAAAAAAAGGCGATTTGAACAAGTGTTGGAAAATCTTTTTTTGCATCATGTAGTACGAGGAACAATTTAGGGTGTTTGGGAGAAGTTAGTGCTACTTTAGCGTGCAGCTGCCGAAAGCAACTCAACAGCTCGAGACTGATTCAAAGAAAGGGCTAAATAGTGGATAACAAAGGCAATTTTGCCATCAAAGAAAAAGCAATATTTGTGAAGCCCCATGTGCCAATAACAAAAACAGACAACATCCACTTGAAAGTTTGAGCAAAAGGTCCTTCACATTCCTATGAATTTGATTTTATTTCATCCATAAAGTTTTTTCTTATCGATGAAGATGTTATCATTTATGTGAGATTCAAGGATATGGAAACGAAACATTGTTTATAAGAGTATGAAAACTTTTTCTTAGCATACGTGTTTTAAAATCGTGAGGCTGATAGTGATACGTAACAGGCCAAAACGGATAATATCCGCTACGAGTGAACTTGAGTTATTACAAATACTATCAGAGTTAGACACCGAGCAGTGTGTCAGCGAGGACGTTGAACTCTCAAGGGGGTGGACTGTGAGAGCCCACGTTGGTTAGAGAGGGTGTGAAAATTTCTAGGCTCTGAAGTGAGTGGATTGTGAGATCCTACGTTAGTTGGAGAGGAGAACGAAGTAAGGAAACTTCTGGGGAAGGATATGGAAACCTATGGGCTCTCTAGGGGAAGAGTGTGGAAACTTCTGGGCCCTTGAGGTAGTGGATTGTGAGATATCACGTTATTCGAGAGTGATATGAAACATTACTTATAAGAGTATAGAAACCTCTCTTTAGTAGAGATGTTTTAAAAATCGGGAAGCTGAGGTCATTCGAAAAAGGTGCCATAGTAGAGATTCAAGATTGCCACTTAAGTTCATGAGAGTGAATGAAGTTATTTGACGAGCTTAATGGTTAGTTTTCACAAGAATCTGCTCAAGAAAGTAAATTTGGCTGTAAAGTGGGTTGGAATAGAAGCACACAGTGAATCTTTAGCCCGAAGCAGTATAGGTCGGAAAGAGTGCCAACAAGAATCAAGCCAAAAGTAGCAAAATATTATGTTCCTAAAATAAAGAAGGTATCACCGAAAGAGTTGAAAGTAGACCTTCAAACCTTATCCCGTAAAGGTGCATCATATCAAGCCAAACAGTTCGCACATTGCTGGCCTCTTTTCTTTGTCGGGCCAGCCTTCTCTAGTAGCTCTTTATGCTAGATACCCATTAAAATTAGTAACCGTCACGGCAGTATTGTGTAAAACATAATGATACCTCACGTGCCTAGTGGTGTACGCGGTCGTACCTTCATAATGGATAGTGGTATCCCCCAATGCATGAGCACACATAATGCATGAGATCCCAATATTTTTTTGTTTTCAACATTATTAAATATAATCCCGTTATCGTTTCTCATTCATATCATATCATTTCTCATTTTTCAGTTCTCATATTATACATAATTCGAACGAAGTTATATTTCATGTCATTTATCGTGACTTCATGTCATTTATCGTGACTTCATGTCATTCATACCATGTTGTATACATACAATTTGTGAGACATAACATAATATTTCTTGCTTTTAACATAACATATCATCATATATTATATATATATATACTGTAACATATCATATCGCATCGCAATATATCATATCATAAATATGTCAATTTATCACATATTTCGTACTATAACATATTTCATATCATTTTCATATCATGTCACAGCATACCGATAATATAGTAAGTGCATTATGCCTAATTTGGTTATCCTAGACTCTTAGTACACCTACTACCAATAACTTGAAGAAAAACGAAACTACACATACAGCCATTTTTTTGTTGTGTAAGGTTTTAAATCAGACGGAAAGAAAAACAATCTAGAAACCCTTTTTAACATTTAGATTTGGAAATCAAAAAGATCAATTAAGAAAAGGGGATACCTGTGTGTCACAGCAGCGCCTACATCATGTCTTTCGCATTCCACTTTCTTTTTCGGTTCAGCTCGAACACTGTCAAAACACCATATTGTCATGTTTGATCTTTCTTTTTCGAGCTTTCACTCAAGGCTTTTAAACAAGTTTTTTACACCCTTATAAAGAATGTTTCGTTTAGCTCACTAATCGATGTGGGATCTCACAATCCATCTCTTTTGAGGCCCAGCAGACGTTGACACACTGCCTCGTGTCCAACCCCTCTGAGGCTTAAACTCCTTGCTGGCAAGTTCTAATACCATTTGTAACCGCCCAAGCCTACTACCGGCAGATATTGTCCTCTTTAAATTTTCTTCTTCTCAAAGTTTTTAAAACTTACGAGTAATTTGCAATTGCTAGGAACCACCAACTCCAAAGATATCATAATTAACACATTTGCAAATTCATTGTCCGAGGAAGTGGAACCATCGAACGCCACCATTTGCATATCCGGACTCAAAAGTTCCTTTTCGCCAATGATAGCAAAGAACATAGGAAAACAAAATAGAGAAAGTGCCACCATTCCCGATTCCAAATAAAATGGCTATGAGGAATTCAGCACTACCCTCTAGTAAGAAGCTCTACAAGCCGTGTGACTCAAGATCAGTAAACATTTTTTTGAGAAAGAAACAGGTGAATGAAATAATCAAGAGGGATAAGAAACCCCAAACCACCGTCGATGGATAATAAATCATGAAAGTCTCCAGGCATGATCATATTCCAACCAAAACTGTCCAAGACAAAATACCATTATCGTTGAGCAAAATTTCAAGAGCGGAGAGCCGGATAGATGGCAACGAGTTTCTGACTCAAATAAGTATACATTAAGAGTTATCCTTTCATATTGAGAAGAGAATCGACACTCCAATCTTATGCGTTTAATCAATAATCATTGGACGAGTCCGATTCAGGGTAATTTTACTATTGTTCTTATACTAAGAACCAATGGTATGTATAATGTTCAACTCAGAGTTGATTATCCAAATGAATTCAGATTACTAAAAACAACATAAACAAAAACTTAGTTAAGATAACCTTACGGGTAGCCTAGACTTCAAATTTCACGATAAAATTGTTGAAACTAACCCGACGGTTACTATGATCATTGGGCGATGTTGATGGAAAATTTTCTCAGATCAAAGGAGTTCTTTGATATGGTGAAAACAGGTTATGAAGAGCCAAATGAAGGCGAGGTACTCTCAGCTGATCGACAGCAACTGTTGACAGCATCGAAGTTGAAGGACCTGAAGGTCAAGAACTATTTATTTCAGTCCATTGATAGGACTATCTTGGAAACAATGCTTCAGAAGAAGACATCCAAAGAAATTTGGGACTCTTATGAGGAGGAAGTATCAAGGCTCAACGAGAGTAAAACGTGCTCAACTACAGGCAGTTAGGAGAGACTTTGAAATTCTCCAAATGCAAAAGGGAGAAATAGTGAATAATTATATTGGCAAGGTTATAAGTCTTGGAAGTAAAATGAGGATGCATGGTGGTTCAATCACAGATGTTGGTAGAAAAGATTTTGCGACCACTAACACCAAAGTTCGATTACATTGTATGTTCTATCGAAGAAGCAAACAATGTCGAGGAAATGTAAATAGATAACTCCAAAGCTCTCTGTTAGTACATGAGCAGAGGCTCAATCGTACAAGTGCAATAGAGGAGATGACAACCTTAAAGATATCCACACCAAGTGAAATTTCAAGCTCTAGAGGTAGAGGGCAAAGAAGAGGCAGAGGTCGTGAGAGAGGCAGTCGAGAAAGAAGTGAAGATGTTGGCAGGTCAGCAGACCTAGTCAGAAACGATTATGACAACAAAGGCAAGAGACACTTTGACAAGTCTAAAGTGGAATGTTACAGATGTGAACGCCTTGGACATTACAAAAATGAATGCTATACCAGGCTCCAAAAGGAGAAAAGAAATCAATCCAATTTTGTGGAGAGAAGAGAAGAAGAAACATTATTAATGTCATTCCATGCTATGAAGGTTGCAGATCAAGGTGCATGGGTCATAGACTCTGGATGCAGCAATCATATGACAGGTTGTAAAGAATTCTTCTCAACTTTAGATGAAAATTTTCATACTACGGTCTCTCTTGACAACAATTCATCTCTCCAAGTGATGGGGAAAGGAACGGTAGATATCAAGACTAGAAATGGCTTTGTAGAGTCTATTTCTAATGTATTCTACATTCCTGATCTGAAGGCCAACTTAATTAGTATCGGTCAGTTACAAGAAAAGGGGTATGTGATCACATTCTAAAATGATGAATGTGAAATTTATGACTCCAAAAGAGGATCGATTGCTAAGATGAAGATGACCACTAACCGTCTATATCCGTTGACGTTAAATATCGTTGCCAAAAGTTTGATGTACCTAACTTCAACAAGACCAGACATCATGTATGCGGTTAGTATGATAAGTCGTTACATGGAGCATCCAACGGAAAAACATCTCAATGCAGCAAGAAGGATACTTCGTTATGTGAGAGGAACCTTTGATTTGGGGGTAATTCTACAAAAAAGAAGATGATCCGAAGATAGTTGGCTATACAGATAGCGACTATGCAGGTGATATAGACGATCGTAAAAGTACTTCAGAAAGTATTTCCTTGATGAGTTCAGGAGCTATTTGCTGGTCTTCAAAGAAGCAACCTATTGTAACACTCTCAACGACAGAAGCAGAATTTGTGGCAGCAGCAGCATGCTCGTGCCAAGCAATTTGGTTAAGAAAAATGCTTGAAATTCTTAATCAGAAGCAACCAAGTACGACGGTTATATATTGTGATAATATGTCAACTATTAAGTTGTCTAAAAATCCTGTGTTGCATGGAGGAGCAAGCACATCGATGTTCGATTTCATTTCTTGCGTGATTTGTGTAAAGAAGGCATTATTGAACTCAACTTTTGACGAAGTGATGAACAAATCGCAGACCTATTCACAAAGCCCTTGAAACAACCATTGTTCGAGAAGCTCAGAAGAAAGATGGGGATATGCAGAATCCAAGATGTATATCAAAAAGATGAAATGAAGTCCTAAACTGATTTCCGCAGAATTCAGTTTAAGGGAGGGTGTTGAAACTAATAATAGCTAATAATAGAATTTGAATTAGTTACGGAATAGAAGAGGAGGTGAATTCAAATTCATCCACAAAATCTCCACAAAAATCTCAACCAATTCCGAGAATCCCCTCTAAAAGGACCTCCCTCCCCATCACTCAAATCACTCCTCCTCTCAATCTCAATTCAGTTTTATGTTGTCACCAACAAAAATTAGGTTAATTCAATTCCAGAACAATTTGATGCCATGCTTTAACGATAATTATGTTTCTTAGCAGACAAATTAATTTAATTTCCAGGGAGCCTTACATGCCTGTAGAATTGATGCAGACGAATAATACAAGTCCGCTTCAGCAGTCGAACTTCCTCGACCATCAAGAACATATCGGGCTTCAACCTTCATGATGACTGAAGGAACGAATTTCCTTACATGATTCAACTGCTTGATTAAAGAACAACAGAAACAGATAAGCGATTAGATGGAAAAGATATAACAAATTTCAAACAATTACAATTGATCAACTAAAAGTAATTGAAATCATGGCTCCAAGATCCCTAGTCACATCGCGAAGCATTTGGAAACCGCAATCATGAATTCAACGTCAAGACGAAGTAAGTAAATAGATGTTATACCGGCATTTTCTTTCCAGCCAAACAGATATATGAGGGATTGCGATGAAGAAGATCGGCAATTTTGGCCCTAGCAGCAGAATCCATCGCATCCGCGATTTTGCAGAACAGCTTGTGCTTTGTATTCATGCTTCTTGTTCATCTCAAAATCATGGAGAAAATACAGAGATTTGGCCTTCAAAGCTCAAAGTGAACTCTCTCTGAAAACTAGCACATCACGCTAACTTGCTACCATTGGACCTCGATCGATGCGACCTTCTGTATACTACAGAGACCTCCATGATATTGCCAACTGCACAAACCCACTCCGCTTTAATGATTCCGCAGTCTAAAGATATATATAGTCGTTGGGAAAAATTCTGACCGTTGAGGGCGTTTCATATATACAACTTTTACGTGTTTTTATTCAAAATTTTGTTTTAAAAAATGTAAGTCATAAAATATTTATTTATTTATTTTTAAATGTTTAATTAAGTTTTATAAATGGTTAGAAATTGTTGTCAAGAGTTGTTTGAACTTTGAAAATGATCCGAATAAATTCCTATAAATTTTAGATTTTGTGTCTAATAAATTTCTAAATTTTTTATTTTTAGTCTAAAAAATGTTAATATTTCATGAATTTATTAGAAATTGTTAATATTTTGTTTCAAAATACCCAACAATTTAAAGTGTTTAAAAATGACTTTAATTAAAAAAAAAAAAAAAAACTTTGAATTTTGAATTTTTTTTTAAAAAATTTTGAAACCTCAAACTTTTTAGTATTTAAGAGTATTTTTAAAACCTTAATATTAATAATTTCATTCATTTGAATGATAGAGTTGATATATATATATTTATTATTATTTTATTAAAGTTCAAGAATATTATTGAAAATATTAAAAATTTATGAATATTTTTTAAATAAATATCAAAATTTAATAGTATTTTCTTTAATTAATATTTTAAAAATAAAATCTTTTTTGAAAAATGAATAACCAATCATATTTAATTTCTAGTCTTATAACAGCTTTTAAAATCTAACTTCCAAATAACCCCTTGTGTTATGTGAAAGGCTACATGATTCAAAGTTCTAGCAAATAAACTTTTACTCGTGAATAATTTAGGCAACAGATAATCAACATCCCTCCCTACCAGCATACATATTATTCATAAACTCTCATGCTACAACAAATGCACTTGATGAACCCGTGAAATGTCGAATCGATCTTAAGAGATTTTTGGCTGCTCCAAAATGCCTGATTCTGTACACACCCGACACTGCAGTCTGCGGTATTCGCCATTCTATGGTGGCGAGACTTTGAGGACTAAGTCGAGAAGGTCTCCACCACTTAAAGCGTAAGCAGAAGTCATCGTCGTCGTAACTTGGAACCCAAGTATCCTTCTTTTGGAGGATTTCAACAAGAGCAAATGTACCTTCGGTCATCAGATCATTTCGAGGGCATCCCGACCAGAAGGTTACTGTCACCAAGTCACCTCGTTTGAAGGTGGAGTTAAGGGGAACATCAGATTTCACGTCCCCAAAACTCACTCCGAACGGGGTCGCATCCATGACAACAGGTGTGAGTAGGCTTATTTGCTTAGCAAGGAGATCAGGGGGCTGTGGCCCTGGCTCAACAGGCCTGCCATCAATGAGGGATTGAGCAAGCTTCTTGAACTCTTGTATGTAGGCATCCAATGTATGTGGTCCGTATAATGTGGAGGCACCCTGACAACCAACCAAGATCTTATTTTAGTGCATTTAACTCCTAAAAGGTTTCAAAAGGTCATTTTAGACTTTGTTTCCTGGCTACCATTTTAAAATATTATGGAAAACTGGTAAGGAAAAACTTGACAATATTTATTAGCAGTGGGCTTAAGCAGTTACAAATGGTATTAGAGTCAGACACTAGCCGGTGTGCTAGTGAAGATGCTGAGCTTCAAAAGGGGCTGGACATCAAGCTGTGTGCTAGCGAGAACGCTACGCCCCAAAGAGGGGTAGATTGTGAGATCCTACATCGGTTGGAGAGGGAAACGAAAAATTCTTTATAGTGAAAACCTTCTTTATAAGGGTTCGAAAAGCTCTTTATAAAGGTTTGAAAAGCTCTTTATAAGGGTGTGAAAACCTCTTCCTAGCAGACGCGTTTTAAAACTTTGAGAAGAACCTCAAAGAGGACAATATCGGCTAGCGCTGAGCTTGAGCCGTTACATTGTAATTCAATATGTACTTTAATATGCCGAGATGGACATCCATTAACGTCATATACGTAGCTAAAGTTGATATTCTATCTAGTTGGTATTCTATGAGATAGTCGGGAAGAACGAAAAACTTATTACTTTTAAAAGTTTAGAGACGAAAAATAAAACATTAGTATAGATGCTAACCTCGTATCTTTGCATCTCATATTCTTCAAAGGTGGTGACATACTGAGAATAGGTATTAGTCAGGCCAGCTATGACGACATGAACATTACCATTGAACTCTCTCTTGGCTCCAGTAGTTAACACCGTTTTTACAGCATCCCGAAGCCGTCTCCCAGCCATGGTTGTGAATTCTATTAAACATTGTTTAAAAATTAAGCACAGAGTGTAACAGTCCAATCCTACCGCTAGCAGATATTGTCATTTTTGGGTTTTTCCTTTCGAGCTTCCCTTCAAAGTATTTAAAACACGTCTTCTAGGGAGATGTTTCCATACCCTTATAAAGAATGTTACGTTCCCTCTCTAACCGATGTGGGATGAATTGTGAGATCCCACATTGATTAGAGAGGGGAACGAAACATTCTTTATAAGGGTGTGAAAACATCTCTCTAGAAGACACGTTTTAAAAACTTTGAGGGGAAGCTCGAAAAAGAAAGTCCAAAGAAACAATATTTACGGGCGGTAAGATAAAGAAAGATTTAAAGGCACTATTAAGAGTGAAGTAAAATCTAGCATGATTTGTCATTAAGCATTTCTTAAAACGAATTATAATAAGAGGTTTAAATGATAACTTCCCACTGAGTTTCTTATATCGAAGCCCCACCTATCTTTGTCTCCAACTGAGGTCACTTAGTCTTTTCATTCTACCTAATCTACAAATTAATTATAAAGTGAGCTGAACTTAAAGATGAGTAATAATTGTTACTATACCTCCAGGTACACCAAGAATGACAAGCTGCCCAATGCGGAGAATTTGAATTGGAAGTATTGAGGGCTGAGAAGTTATTTGAGAAAGAAAATTGTAAGTAAAATGTAAGGATCCATACAAGATGTAATATGCAGTGTTAGTGTTTGTTGAGGATTGTTGGGAGACTCTAGAGGAGTCCGACATCGGCTAATTAAGAGGTTGATCATGGGTTTATAAGGAATACATTTCCATTGGCATGAGGCCTTCTGGTAAAATAAAAAACAAAGCCACGAGAACTTATGCTCAAAGTTTGACTTCGTCCCTTTCCTATTAATGTCATTATCCTGAACCGTAACCTGACGAACCTGAAACTGAACCTCTACACTATTAGCTGACCTTCCTCTTGTCATAAAGAACCGCTTGGCTTTGTCTAACAAAGGGAGTCTTTTGGCATTGCATCAAAAGCATTCTTTCTTTTTATAAACGTTTCCATCCATTGACTACATATCATACCACTCTAGGGGTTCGTGATTCCTAACATGGTATCAGAGTCATACTTTTAACTTAGCCATGTCAATAGAATCCTCAAATATCGAACAAAAAAGTTGTGAGCTCGAAGATGTAGTCAAAAGTGACTCAAGTATCGAACAAATGGTGTATTTTGTTTGAAGGCTCTAAAGAAGGAGTCGAGTCTCAATTATGAGAAGGTTGTTCGAGGACTCCATAGGCCTCAAGGAAGGCTCTATAATGTACTTTATTTGAGGGGAGGATTGTTGAGGATTGTTGGGATAGGAGTCCCACATCGGCTAATTAAGGGGTTAATCATGGATTTATAAGTAATCAATACATCTCCATTTGTATGAGGCCTTTTGAGTAAGCCCAAAGCAGAGAAAGCCACGAGAACTCATGTTAAAAGTGGACAATATCATACCATTGTGAAGAGTCGTTATAGAAAATATGCAACACTTACAGCCCAGTCATATGGTATCTTCATTTCGCCAGTGTCAAGCAGAATGGGCTTGGGACTTTGACAAGCAATTTGTTCGCTGCCTGGTGTTTTGAGTAAATTCCGTACCAACTTCCAAAAAGCATTGCCCTTGAATGATTAGAAAAGGCAAAAAAAATGAAATATCAGGATATGTGGGTGAAGAACTGCTTTCCAAAATATATGAATAAATCATAGAAACCTTGTCATCTCCTTGCTTAAAATCAAAAGCTCCCGGTCCATCAGTTGTCCCAGCTGCAAATGCAAACCCCATAGCTGCAGGACAAGTTTTTACAACCGCGGTGGCTCCTCCCGGTTTAGTAACAGACACTTCGAGCTGGGAGAAGTCTACGTAAGAGTGACGGTAATCCACCGTTCCCTTGAGCTGTTCCGACGCTTTACTGAATAAATCCACGGCTTTTCTGAATTGCCTCTCTCCAATGATACGTGTACTTTCGAACTCATCCGGGTAGCTGCAAGTTAAAGTACATGACAACGGTTGGAGATTGTTGGGAGGGAGTCCCACATTGGCTAATTTAGGGAATGATCGTGAGTGTATAAATAAGGAATACATCTCCATTGAAAGGCCTTTTGGGAAGCCCAAAGTAAAGTCATGAGAACT